TTTGCCTCCTCCCACCGCGTGACTACCCCCTCAACCTTCCCCCCTCCCTGTGGCTAACAGCGGGGAACATTTCTGTTTAGCCACAGGCAAACAGCCCAGCAGGAATGGGCTCCTCTGAGTGTCCCCTGAAGAAAAGCACTCTATTTCAACCAGGTGACCATGAATTATATCTCACTCTCCTGAGGATAACACAGAGAGATAAAGAACGGATGTTGTTTGAATGCCAGCAAACATACACTGCAATGCTTTGTTGTACAATGATTCCCGAGTACGTGTTACTGGCCTGGAGTGGTAAAGTGTCCTACCATGAAGGACGCAATAAGGCTGCCCTCCCCAGAAACCTTTTGCAAAGGCTTTAGGACTACATCTAGGAGAACCGCAAATGCCAGGGCAAAGTAATCCTTTCACATGCTTGCTTTGAAACCATGTATAGTATTTTAAAAGGTACACTCACCAGAGGTCCCTTCTCCGCCTGCTGGGTCCAGGAGGCAGCCTTGGGTGGGTTCGGGGGGTACTGGCTCCAGGTCTAGGGTGAGAAACAGTTCCTGGCTGTCGGGAAAACCGGTTTCTCCGCTTGCTTGCTGTGAGCTATCTACAACCTCCTCATCATCATCATCTTCTTCGTCCCCAAAACCTGCTTCCATATTGCCTCCATCTCCATTGAAGGAGTCAAACAACACGGCTGGGGTAGTGGTGGCTGAACCCCCTAAAATGGCATGCAGCTCATCATAGAAGCGGCTTGTTTGGGGCTCTGACCCAGAGCGGCTGTTCGCCTCTCTGGTTTTCTGGTAGGCTTGCCTCAGCTCTTTAGGTTTCACGCGGCACTGCTTCGGGTCCCTGTTATGGCCTCTGTCCTTCATGCCCTGGGAGATTTTCACAAAGGTTTTGGCATTTCGAAAACTGAAACGGAGTTCTGATAGCACGGATTCCTCTCCCCACACAGCGATGAGATCCCGTACCTCCCGTTCGGTCCATGCTGGAGCTCTTTTGCGATTCTGGGACTCCATCATGGTCACCTGTGCTGATGAGCTCTGCATGGTCACCTGCAGCTTGCCACGCTGGCCAAACAGGAAATGAGATTCAAAAGTTCGCGGTTCTTTTCCTGTCTACCTGGCCAGTGCATCTGAGTTGAGAGTGCTGTCCAGAGCGGTCACAATGGAGCACTCTGGGATAGCTCCCGGAGGCCAATACCATCGAATTGTGTCCACAGTACCCCAAATTCGAGCCGGCAACGTCAATTTAAGCGCTAATCCACTTGTCAGGGGTGGAGTAAGGAAATCGATTTTAAGAGCCCTTTACGTCGAAATAAAGGGCTTCATTGTGTGGACGGGTGCAGGTTTACATCGATTTAACGCTGCTAAATTCGACCTAAAGTCCTAGTGTAGACCAGGGCTCAGATGAAGTCCATCCGGGGAGAACAGTCCTCTGTCCATGAATGCCTCCCAGTGGCCATACATCCCAAAGCCTTCCTTATGGCACCACTGTCTGAGCCATCTGTTGAGCAGCATAATTTTGTCACACCTTTGTTGCCCTTCTCTAGGAACAGGATCTGAGCCTCAATTTCCTTTAGTGTCTTCCCCAGCCTGGCATAGTCTCCCATGATACGTTCCAGGGAGAATCTACCAGTATCATTTGTTCCCACATGAAGGACGATCAGTGGATTCTTTCCCACTCCCGTTAGGATACTCTTCAGCCTCAGGTCCACATCCCATAACTTAGCACCCGACAGACAGCCCATCCTTCTGTTCTCTGGATCAGCTCTTGTTACAGGCCTGTCTATTCTTCTCAGTAAGGAGTCCCCAGTCACATAGACCTGCCTTTTCCTGGTGACGGTGCTATTCTCCAGTCTATCCCCTGTTCACAGAATCATAGAAGATTAGGGTTGGAAGGGACCTCAGGAGGTCATCTTGTCCAACCCCCCTGCTCAAAGCAGGACCAATCTCCAATTTTGCCCCCATCCCTAAATGGCCCCCTCAAGGATTGAATTTACAACCCTGGGTTTAGTAGGCCAGTAAGCACCTTTGTCTTTGCACCCTCCAAACCACTGAGCTATCCCTCCCCACTATTCCCTCTGGCTGCAAGTCCTCTAGATTCCTATTCTCCTTTGCAATCCTCTGCAACCCATCCCGTATCCCCCTGGGGCTCATATTTGGTGTTGTTATCTCCACTGACTCTTCCCCTCTTCCTATAGGACTAGCTGCTCTTCTCTTCTTCCTTGCCCTCTCACCTTCAGTGACCACCTGCTGTGCCCCTTCTTCATTTTCCAACTCTGCATACCTGTTCCTGAGCTCGATTTCTCCTTCACTAGCCCGTCTTTTCCTCTGCCTCGTTCTCTTAGTCACATGCTTCCACTGTCCACTTTCCTCACCCAGCAGTCTCCCCTCAGAGTTCTTCGGTCCTGCTTCCATCTGCAAGTCTGAGCTTTCCCCTTCAGCCTCCTCATGTCTTTGCTCCACCATCCGCTCGAACCCCCTTCTAAACTCAACCAGAGTCTCCATCTGCATCTCCAGACCTCAGATCTTCTCTTCCATCAGCTCTATCAGGCGGCACTTCATGCAGACGAAACTCTTTCCAGGTCCCCCCTCCAGGATCATGTACATGCCGCAGCTTCCACACCCACTCATCTTCATTGTGTCTTCCACTGCTTGGGTCACTCCCACTGCTGCCTCTCTATCTGTCTTCGCCTTCTCACCTGAGTCCTGTTAGTCCGGGAAACACAAACCAAAGCAAAACACCACCACCCACAGCAAAACAAACCCCCCACGAGCACCACAACGCTGCCAGACCACCCCCCACTCCCTTCACTAGCCTGGCTGCTCCTCTGCCTGCCTCTCTTAGTCTTCCCTCTAAACTCCTCCAACAGGACTCCCACTCCAACTCCCCTGTTCACAGCTCTGTTTGCTGGCTGTACCCTTCTCTGACTGGCTGGCTACCTTTATAGGACCCCTAGTCAGAGAAGCCCTTCCTTCTAATCAGGGCTCAGCTCTCTCTCCCCCTACCGGCCTCTATATATAACTAAAGGGAGTGAAGGAAAAGGAAATAACAGCCGCTTCCTGAAAGCAGAGAGATAACTTCTACTCTACCCCCAACCCTAGCCTTAACCCTAACCTTTAAAGCCCCTAATCTTGCATTGGGTGAGAGATTGTTTTAGTTTTGTACATCTTCCTGTGGCAAGATAACCTGTTTGTGTGTCTGTTCTGTGCATGGATCCATAGCAGGCTAGCCAATTGCTAGCTAATTTCCACCATCATTCCTCTTTGGGCTTTGGACCCGCCTTTCATTTTCCAGTTCCCACCCCTGCTTTACCCCTGTCATGCAGTCAGTGTGACCCTGCGGCGTGATCGTTGGATGCATGGATTTGCAGCCATCTAGTGTGCTGCTGGCTTACGCCTCCGGTATTTCCACCTCTTGGATATTAGCCCCACTGATTCTGCCTTTGGCGAAAGCCTGCTTTGGCTTTGAAAATTTCGCTCTGCGTGCATGCCTGGTTGCTCCGTAGCGAGCTGGCTTGCCCTTCCTGTCTGGCTTTGGACAGCACTTACTTTCCACTTCTCGATCACAGCCTCTGATCTTACACTGAGCACGGTCAGGCTTTAGTTTCTCACATCCAAACACCAGCAAGGGAATCTGCTACCATGCAAGCTCTGTGCCTGGAGCTGCAGCAGTCGAGCGCAGGGGGTTTCAAACTTTTTTTCTGGCGACCTGGTTGAAGAAAATTGTTGATGCCCGCGACCCAATGGAGCTGGGGAGGAGGGGTTTGGGGTATGGGGGTGAGGGCAGCAGGGTGGGGCTGGGAGTGAGGGGGTCAGGGTGTGGGATGAGGCTCAGGGCTGGGGGAGGGGGTCAGGGCTCTGGGCTGGGGGTGCAGGCTCTGGGGTGGGGCTGGGGATGAGGGGTTTGGGGTGCAGGAGGGGGCTCCGGGTTGAGGTGGGGCTCAGGGCTGGAGCAGGGGATTGGGGCACAGGCTTACCTCGGGCGGCTCCCAGTCAGCAGGACAGCGGGGGTGCAGACGCAGGCTTCCTGCCTGTCCTGGCACCGCCAACCGCGCTGCACCCCAGAAGCGGCCAGCAGCAGGTCGGGCTCCTAGGAGAGTCTGTGGCGGCCGGTTCCTGGCCAATGGGAGTGCGGAGCCAGTGCTGGGGGTGGGGGCAGCGCACGGAGCCCCATGGCCCCCCCGCCGAGGAGCCGGACCTGCTGCTGGCCGCTTCCGGGGCACAGCGCGGTGTCAGAACAGGCAGGGACTAGCCTGCCTTAGCCGGGCAGCACCGCCGAAGGGACTTTTAACGGCCCGGTCGGCGGAGCTGACCAGAGCCGCCGCGACCCAGGGCCTGACATTCCGCGACCCGGTACTGGGTCACAACCCGCCGTTTGAAAACCACCGGTCTCGTGAGTTGCTACTGCAATCTCCACTGTCATCCTTCTTTGTCTTTGCACCCTCCAATTTCCACGCCTAGTTTACGGTCCCCGAGTTTGCACTGGGTGAGAGTCTGTGGCAGCTTTGCGCATCCTGCTGCGGCCTGGGATTTGGCTGGTGCTAGGGCTTTGTGCATGGATCTCTAGTGATGCCCGCGTCCGGCGGTTTCATGCCCGAAGCGGGTCCCTCCGCTGGTGGGGAGGTGGGAGCAACTGAGGCTGTGGGTTTGATCCTTTAGTATTAACACATCACTGGCTCGTACCTAGTTCTGTCCATCCCGTAGATCTCCAAGAGCTTTACAAAGGAGGTTGGGATTGGTATCCCCATTTTACAGATGTGGAAACTGAGGCAGGGAGAGAGACCTCCAGGATAGCTCCGCAGGAAGGTGGGGAGTTGGGCGGATCCACGCAACCGTGAGGGTCAAGGGCTCCCCCTGCTGGTCAGCACAGAGCAGTGCTGGTGCCGGAGTCCCATCAGAGGCTGGGGACGAGCTGTCCGGCAATGCTCCGCCGATTGAGGTCTGAAGCTGTGGAAAGGCTTGTCTCCATGGGGGGTGACTCGGCCCTGTTCGTCTGTCTGTCCTCAGGGAGCCTGACAGCCCCCAAAACGCTGCAAGCGGTGCAGGTGCCCCTGATAGACAGAGACGCCTGCAACAGCCTCTTCAAAATCGGCTCATACGCGGACGACCCTCAGGAGATCGATCCCATCAAGCAGGATATGATCTGCGCAGGGTATCCGCAAGGGGAGAAAGATTCGTGTCAGGTGAGACCCTGTATCCTATTCCCTGACTCCCTCCCCCCATGGCAGTTAATCCCAGATTGGAGCCAGTGCCACCCAGAAGGGAACAGGCCCCACGTCCCATTCCCCACCCACCCTGAGCCAGCCAGTCCCCCTCCCTGGGGCTAGAGCTGGTGCCCCCTAGAAGGGAAAAGTCCCACGTCCCATTCCCGCCCTCCTGAGCTGGCCAGTCCCCCTCCCTGGGGCTAGAGCTGTTGCCCCCTAGAAGGGAAAAGTCCCACGTCCCATTCCCCATCCACCCTGAGCCGGCCAGTCCCCCTCCCTGGGGCTAGAGCTGGCGCCCCCTAGAAGGGAAAAGTCCCACGTCCCATTCCCGCCCTCCTGAGCCGGCCAGTCCCCCTCCCTGGGGCTAGAGCTGGTGCCCCCTAGAAGGGAAAAGTCCCACGTCCCATTCCCCACCCACCCTGAGCCGGCCAGTCCCCCTCCCTGGGGCTAGAGCTGGTGCCCCCTAGAAGGGAAAAGTCCCACGTCCCATTCCCGCCCTCCTGAGCCGGCCAGTCCCCCTCCCTGGGGCTAGAGCTGGCGCCCCCTAGAAGGGAAAAGTCCCACGTCCCATTCCCGCCCTCCTGAGCCGGCCAGTCCCTTGTCCTGGGCCCGGATCAGAGCCAGCGCCCCCTCAAGGACATACCAGGAATTGACCCCATTGTTCTGCTGTCTGCAGGGCGACTCCGGGGGACCCTTGGTCTGCGAATGTGACAGCACGTGGCTCTTGGCCGGGGTGGTGAGCTGGGGCATGGAATGTGGGAACCCCAATTGCCCGGGGGTCTACAGCCTGCTGCCCCCCTATGCCAAATGGATCCAGGGACACGTTACCACCCTACCCTTCACCATCTGTAGCATGTCAGTCATGCAGTGCAACAGCACCAGAGCTAGCCCATTGGGGCTCCTAAGGAATATTTTGGGGGCCTCCCCCACCCACACAACATTAAAACAGGCAAAGCAGATAAGGGGCCTGCTTGGGCTGCTCGGGGCCCTAAGTCATTGCCTGGCACCGGCTCTGCCTGCCGTGCTTCTCCTCGCTGCAGCTGTCCCCATGATCCTGTGAGATGCACCCCCCATGCCCCAGCGCATCCCTCCAGGCCCCCAGGAAAGCCCCCTCCAGATGGGGGTTCAGCTCATCTCTGCCTCAGATGGGTGCATGGCCCTGATCCCAACTGGGCCCGTGCAAATGCTGCTAATGCTAACGAGGGTGCAAAGGGTCCTGATTTCCTCCAGCAGGGGGCAGCAGGGACACACACACACACACACACACACACACACACACAGAAGCAATCAAGCCGTAGCCTCCCTCTCCCACCTGCTTCAATGCCAGACTGTGTCCTTATATCCTTCTATTCTCCGCCCCCACCTCTTTATCCCTCTCTTCGGCTCTTTGCCAGCCACCCCACAGGCTCCTTCGAGGCCTCTTTACCCTCCTCTTCTGGATGCCAAAATATCTCTCTGCTTTCAGGAAGGGACTGTTATTTCCTTTTCCTCCACTCTCTGTAATTATCTTTCCTGGCCTGTTTCCCCTGCAGCTCCACTTCTCTGGCCTGCTTTTCCCTTTCCAGCTTCCCTGCCTCAGTTTCCCCACCGCACACCCAGACACCGGCACTGCATTGGCTTGTAGGGGGCCTCCATCCTCCTAGCCTCACTACCTCATGTGCTGCTGCATCAGCTGCTGCCCCATTGCCTCATCAAAACTCTGATGCAATAGGCTTGTGCCTGGGAGAATGTGGGGTGGGGGCAGCATGCACAGACCCTGGGCAAGCCCACGGAGATAGGGGGACAAGGTGACTTAGCCCTGCAGCACCCCCATCTGGCTGTGCTGAGAATTGCAGACCGTGACCAACCCAAGCCCCAAGATAATTTAAGTTCCCCTCCACCCCTTAGGGATCGGGGAGGATTTGAACCCATGGCAGGGCACAGCCACAAGGGATCACTGCAGTCCTCCAGTCTAGCCTCATGCATGGCACAGCCCAGATGGCCCAACCCCGGCCTCCCTTCAGCCCATATGTGATGGCTGAGCTAGCCATCTTAGAAAGGGTGTCATAAATATAGAGAGAAGGGTAGCGTAAAATCCCTCCTTGGCAGCTGGACTGAATCGCCTTACCTGTAAGGGGTTAAGTAGGTCTAATAACCTAGTTAGCTCCTGACCAGAAGGACCAATGAGGAAAGAAGATACTTTCACATCTGTGGGGGGAGGATTTGTTTGTAGCTCTCTCTTTGTTGTTCCCTCTATGGACGGAGAGAGAGGCCAAACAGGCACAACATCTCCTGAAAATATACCTGCAATAATCCATCTAAAATCACAGAAATTGTAAGTAAGGCAAGGAAATGCGTTAGGTTATCCTCTGTGTTTTAAATCTTTTCATTGACCCTGTAAAGTTACCTTCCATCCTGATTTTGCAGGCGTGATTCTTTTACTTTTTCTTTATAAATAAAGATTTCAGAGGAACAGCCGTGTTAGTCTGTATTCGCAAAAAGAAAAGGAGGACTTGTGGCACCTTAGAGACTAACCAATTTATTTGAGCATGAGCTTTCGTGAGCTACAGCTCACTTCATCAGATGCATACCGTGGAAACTGCAGCAGACTTTATATACACACAGAGAATATGAAACAATACCTCCTCCCACCCCACTGTCCTGCTGGTAATAGCTTATCTAAAGTGATCAACAGGTGGGCCATTTCCAGCACAAATCCAGGTTTTCTCACCCTCCACCCCCCCACACAAATTCACTCTCCTGCTGGTGCTAGCCCATCCAAAGTGACAACTCTTTACATAATCAAGTCGGGCTATTTCCTGCATAGATCCAGGTTTTCTCACATCCCCCCCACCCCCATACACACACAAACTCACTCTCCTGCTGGTAATAGCTCATCTAAACTGACCACTCTCCAAGTTTAAATCCAAGTTAAACCAGAACATCTGGGGGGGGGGGGGGTAGGAAAAAACAAGAGGAAACAGGCTACCTTGCATAATGACTTAGCCACTCCCAGTCTCTATTTAAGCCTAAATTAATAGTATCCAATTTGCAAATGAATTCCAATTCAGCAGTTTCTCGCTGGAGTCTGGATTTGAAGTTTTTTTGTTTTAAGATAGCGACCTTTATGTCTGTGATTGCGTGACCAGAGAGATTGAAGTGTTCTCCGACTGGTTTATGAATGTTATAATTCTTGACATCTGATTTGTGTCCATTTATTCTTTTACGTAGAGACTGTCCAGTTTGACCAATGTACATGGCAGAGGGACATTGCTGGCACATGATGGCATATATCACATTGGTGGATGTGCAGGTGAACGAGTCTCTGATAGTGTGGCTGATGTTATTAGGCCCTGTGATGGTGTCCCCTGAATAGATATGTGGGCACAATTGGCAACGGGCTTTGTTGCAAGGATAAGTTCCTGGGTTAGTGGTTCTGTTGTGTGGTATGTGGTTGTTGGTGAGTATTTGCTTCAGGTTGCTTTTAAGCACCTGATTGATTTTCAGTGTCCCGAAGACAAAGGGTCTGGTCTGTGCTCACATTGCTAACCAATTCGTTGGTATATTATTCTCAAGCCTCCCCAGGAAAGGGGTGAAGGGGTTTGGGGGGATTTGGGGGGGGGGGGAATAGGGATTCCAAGTGACCCTTCCCTGAACTTTTGTGTAAATTGTGTGGCGGTGGCCGTCCAAGGACAAGGAAAGGAATTTGTGCCTTGGGGAAGTTTTTAACCTAAGCTGGTAGAAATAAGCTTAGGGGGTCTTTCATGCGGGTCCCCACTTCTGTACCCCAGAGTTCAGGGGAAACCCTGACAAAGGGAATCCTCCATCCAAGCCCTACCTGAGGGCTGAGCTAGTGTGTGTCTCTTACAAAGGGAACACACCACCCCATATCTGATGGCTGTCAGGTCATAGGGGTCTTGAACCCCAGTCCGCAGAGGACCTGGGAACAATTACACTCAAGTCTTCCACCAAGTAGCTTGCAGAGAGCAGCTAGGACTGGGGGCCATGAACCCCGACTGGGGTATAAGCTCCGCCCCTGCGCTCTCTCAGAGAGAGCTCTGAGGCTCCTGCTTTGGGTCTCTGAACCGGACCTCCTGGTATTCTTGGTAACAGACCCTTGATCCCTGCCGTTTGATTTCTCTCTTGATTCTCACTCCTGGCATTCCAGCCTGACCTGGTTCCTCTGGCCCATGCCTAGTGCTAACCCCTAGGCCGCCCACTCCCCGGCCTTTACAGCAGCTGAGGAAGCATGTGTCACTTATAAAGGGAATTGAGGGGTTCCCCATCCAGCCCATATCTGACAGGTGAGCTGGCATGTGGTTTTGGAAAGGGAATTCACTCTTAATTTCAATACTCCACGGGATAGAGAATCGATGCGCCTCCCCACAAAGGAATTTCCCCCAGATATTAATGCTCCTCCCTTTTAAGAGGTTAATCGAAATGAAAAGATCAGAAAGTATGGAATAAAAAGCACTCTGACCACACAATTTATCTGATGTGCGTATTGGATTTCTCTGGTACTGACAGAGATAGGGAGCCGCACGTCGGGCTGGGCGCTGCAAAGACACATAGGGAGAGACAGTCCCTGGGTACCTGGGGAAAGAGAAAAGCCCAGGGGAGGAGGAGGTATGGGGGGGCAGAAGGGTGTGTGGGGATACACCCCTCAGAAATTTCCACTGTCTGTACAGAGATCCCCATCTGGCACCAAGAAGCAGCCACCTCTGGGGCGAGCAGCTGGAGAAGAGCCACACAGCGAGACCTCATGGGAATGGCTCACCCAGCACTGAGAGGGAGCCAGGGACTCAAAATGGGAATGAGTGAGTCACAATTTGGCCTGGACACTGGGGTTCAAGCCCTGGCTCCTGGGGATTTGCAGCTATTTTATATCTTGAGAACAGGTTTTAAAAAACCAAAGACTAAAAAGGAAAGACTGTGCAGAAAGACGGAAAGAAAGAGATATATTATAAACAGATTTAACAGTGTTGGTTCAGAAAGAGATCTGGTTGAATTGGTAGAGTCCCCCTACCCTGAATTTATAATGCCATAATGGAGTTCTGGGAGTGGGATCTACTGCTTAGAGAGTATGTGTGTGTGTGTGTGGGGGGGGGGTGTCGGGAGTCAGGACTCCTGGGTTCTATGTCCCATATAGGGAAGAGAGGTTCCCGAGCATGTTTGGAAGAGAAACTGAAAAAGAGACATCCATCCCATCAAAATCCTCGGGCTAATTCTGGGAGGTGGAATGCAATGAGTCAAACTGTGGTAGGACCAGGGTGCCGGGGTTCCCTTAGCAATGGATGGACACACCCGCAGGGCACTTAAAAACAAATGAGTTATTTACCAAGGGGAAATAAATCCGCCAAGCCAGCTTGTGAGACCGTAAACTCACCCCGTCTTGGTTCGGGAGGAGAGAGAAAGAAAGAAAAGAGGTGAACAACACTGCCATGTTTCAATCTATAACCCTCACCTCACGCTGACCTTAACAGGAGAGCTCCTGAGGGACTAGATCCAGCGAGAGCTGCAAACAGAGGCAGCTCACAGGGGAGTCTGGCGCGGGAGTGAGAGAGGTTTCCTTCCAGGTGCAGAGATTTCTTGTGCATGAAGTGCATGTTGGTGGCTGTGCTGGGGGGGGGGGGGGGGGGGAAGGTTCTTTGATTATAGGGAAAGTTGATAAGGGAAGCCAAGGGACACAAGGAGAAATCTATGGCCAGCAGAATTAAGGGCAATAAGATGGAGTTTTAAAAATGTTTTAGGAACAATAAGAATCCTGGCAATGGTATTGGTCCATTAGTAGATGAAAATGGCAGAATTATACATAATAATACAGCTATGTAGCTTAGGAAAGAGAAGGTTAAGGGGTCACTTGGTCACCGTCTATAAAGACCTACACTGGGAACAAATATTTAATAATGGGCTCTTCAGTGGAGCAGATCCAATAGCTGCAAGTTGAAGCTAGACAAATGCAGACTGGAAATAAAGTGTAAATTTTTCACAGTGAGAGTAATTAACCACTGGAAGAATTCACTGAGGGTCGTGGTGGATTCTCCACCCCACTGACAATTTTTAAAGCAAGACTGTCGGGTTTTCTGAAAACTCTGCTCTAGTTGTTATTTGGGGGCAGGTCTCTGGCCTGTGTTATACAATAACCTACAATGTAGGTTATCACAGTGCTGCCTTCTCACCTGAGAATCTATGAACTACCCCGATAACCTTACCCCCATGGCAAACTTAGCTTTTCCGGAGCACTGTCCTTGGCCAGCTGTTCGTGGTGCATTCAGTTGCTCACAAAACAGGAAAATGTAAATCACTCTGGGGATTCCCCCAGTAACCTGGGAGGTTGCATTTTTTTATTTGGTTTTATGAGGTGCCTATGCTGGGGCAATTCCAGGCAGAGCAGAGTGATAACGGTCACGCCCTACTCACCTGCTGAATTTGGAAGCAGAGCAGTAACTAGGCATTGCAGGGTTCGGGGTGAGCAAGCATATTTGCACCCCCTAGAGGCGACTCATGGAGGGGACCAAATTTCTGCCTTCCATTTAGCACAGAGGTTTTCAATTTTTTGCCAGCAGAACAGAGGTTGGTGGGAGCTGCCCAGCCCACTTGGGCCCCAGGCTCTCCATGCTGTGGGAGCTTTATGTATCTGTATAGCCCAGTAAATCTTTGCAATGGATCCTTCTGATAGCGTTTGGCAGCTCTTGTTTCCAGGAGTAGCTCATTCAGGGATTGGTCACATCTATTTTCCACAGATCTGGGGAGGGTGGTGGCAGGAGGCTCTGTCTCTAAAAGTCTTCCCCAGTGGGTTCACGCTCCAGGCAGGGTTCGGTCGGAGCAATGGAGGCAGCTGAGGTTGGCCAAGACAGGATGAGGCGAGGCTGGATCATGGGTTGTCTCCACTGCCCCTAGCATTTCTGGTGATGACTCTGGTGCAGAATGAGGGTGGAGTGGGGATGTAGGAACAGGCCCTACCTTCCATGGGGAGCGGAAAGAGATACGGTCTGACAGGGGGAGGGAATTGGGCTTGTGAATAACAGGGGGATCCAACCCTTTCACCCTTCATTGACCCCCCCTGCCTATGTAGCCTGGATTTCTGCATTCAATCCTGAGACACCTCCATTCAGATCAGTGGGGACTGTTAACTCTGGAACCTAGAGATGACAACTTGAATAGCAACACTGCTAATATTTTTAACTGTTGCTGAGGATAACCGGGATGTTTCAGGAGACTGGGTGGAGCATGGGAACTGTGGGTGGAGCTACTGGCAGCCATTCCCCCAGATACACAGTGAAATATCTGTGTATAACACACACCTCCCCTCCCTGACACAGAGTAATATGCTCCCCTTCTCTTTCTTCACTCCCTAGGTGCCCAGGGGAGTTGGAATAAGGCAGGTAAGACAACCACAGAAAAACACCAGCCTTACCTGCCCTGGGCATGTGGAATGAGAATGAGGTTGGGAGCCAGGACTCCTGGGTCCTATACCCAGCTGTGGGAAGGTAGTGGGATCTAGCAGGTTAGAGCAGAGGAAAGAAGGTGGTATCATTGCGGTTAGGGATAAGAGTATCATTGGGTGAAGGTTATCATTGGGTTAGGGTTAAGGGTATCATTGGGGTTATGACAAAGTTTGTCATGGGGATAGGGTGAGGGTTGAAATAGGGGCTTTCTTTCTTTCTTTCTTTCTTTCTTTCTTTCTTTCTTTCTTTCTTTCTTTCTTTCTTTCTTTCTTTCTTTCTTTCTTTCCTTTGGCAGAACCAAGACAGGATGAATTAAAGTTTTACCAAGATGGTTTGTGTTAATTTAATTGGCCAATGTAAATTATACTCTCTCCCAAACTAAGGTATGTATGTTTATGTCCATTTCCATAGAAACAGCACACAGACCCATTGACCTAACAAGGGGCAGAGGCAAACCTTACACTGACAAGTGTCTACACCCAACAGGAGAGAGAAGCTCCATCTGGATTTTACTTTTCAGAAGGATCCATTGCAAAGATTTACTGGGCTATAAAGATAGGAGGGCTGAACCTCAAGTGATAGGCAGCTGAATCAACTGATTGCCTACGGTATTCCTGCATTAGAAGCATGTACGGAGCAAGATCTTTTCTGAGAGCTAATGACATGCCGGTGATGAATGTCTTTGTGAAATGACTATAGTAACACTACAGGGGGAATTATGGACACTCATTGATACTGTGTTTGAAAGTCTGTGGCCAGACAAAGGAAGGAGCAGTTCCTGCCCAGGCAGGAAGTGGGGTGGGGGGGGAGAGCTATTTACCTGTCTCTTAGGTAAATTAAGACTGGTGGGATGCAAACAATGGAAGCCCCATTTACACACAGGGGGACGGGAAGCCTGCATCTTGCTAGATTAAGTTTTAGACTTTTACTGTGTGTTTTCACTTTTATTTCCTTAAAGAAAAGGAGTACTTGTGGCACCTTAGAGACTAACCAATTTATTTGAGCATAAGCTTTCATGTGCTACAGCTCAGTGAGCTGTAGCTCACGAAAGCTTATGCTCAAATAAATTTGTTAGTCTCTAAGGTGCCACAAGTCCTCCTTTTCTTTTTGTGTATACAGACTAACATGGCTGCTACTCTGAAACCTTTTAGTTCCTTGTAACCCTTCCTAAGTTTATTCCTTTTCCATTCACATCACTTTCCCTCTGTCCTATTGTTAATAAATATGTTTTATTTTACCACCCACCAGCTCAGTGCTGTGTTTGCTGGGAAGAGTGTATCTACCCCTCAGTTAAGTTAATAAGCTGTGATGTGCTTTTGTGTCTTTAAAAGAACAAATGAACCTTCCGATTTCTCTGAGCTGTCCAGGACAAGGCTGGACACTACAGTTTGAGGGAAATTGAGAGTGGGGGTGTGCTGGGGTCACCCTTGCTGGTTGTAACCAAGGCTGATGGAAAGCAGAGTGGGGCTGTGGGGTGTAGACAGTCTGCTAGGAAGAGTGATGCTGAACCACTGCAGTCCCAGAACTGGAACTGGTGGAGTAACCAGCACCAGAACCATTGCCAGCACTGAATCCAGCGCTTGCAACCCCATGTGCAACTCCAGTGCCGGAGGGCACCACCGAGCCTGCCATGGCAGCAGGAGCTAAACCTGTGCAAGAGGCTTAGCTGGAGCCTGAAATACAACCCATGGGTGGAGGTGGCGGAAAAGAAGAAAGCTAGTAGCAGTTGGAGCGGATATCAGAAGGGGCAACATGAAACAAAACCCTCTCCCCGGGGACAGTGCAAGGCCCCCCCATTCCCCAAGGAAAACCCCAGATACCTTATCAGCCCACCACACCATTCTCCAGCAACCCACCTCTCCCCAGTGACCGGTCAGCTGGGCAATGTTTTAAATGTAATGAGCTGGGGCATGGGAAGGTCAACTGCCCCAAGAACCCCAACAGACTGCAATTGATGCACTATAAGGTGGGTAGAAAGTTGGCTAGATTGTCGGGCTCAACGGGTAGTGATCAATGGCTCCATGTCTAGTTGGCAGCCGGTGTCAAGTGGAGTGCCCCAGGGGTCGGTCCAGGGGCCGGTTTTGTTCAATATCTTCATAAATGATCTGGAGGATGGTGTGGATTGCACTCTCAGCAAATTTGCGGATGATACTAAACTGGGAGGAGTGGTAGACACGCTGGAGGGCAGGGATAGGATACAGAGGGACCTAGACAAATTGGAGGATTGGGCCAAAAGAAATCTGATGAGGTTCAATAAGGATAAGTGCAGGGTCCTGAACTTAGGACGGAAGAACCCAATGCACAGCTACAGACTAGGGACCGAATGGCTAGGCAGCAGTTCTGCGGAAAAGGACCTAGGGGTGACAGTGGACGAGAAGCTGGATATGAGTCAGCAGTGTGCCCTTGTTGCCAAGAAGGTCAATGGCATTTTGGGATATATAAGTAGGGGCATAGCGAGCAGATCGAGGGACGTGATTGTTCCCCTCTATTCGACATTGGTGAGGCCTCATCTGGAGTACTGTGTCCAGTTTTGGGCCCCACACTACAAGAAGGATGTGGATAAATTGGAGAGAGTCCAGTGAAGGGCAACAAAAATGATTAGGGGTCTGGAACACATGACTGATGAGGAGAGGCTGAGGGAACTGGGATTGTTTAGTCTGCAGAAGAGAAGAATGAGGGGGGATTTGATAGCTGCTTTCAACTACCTGAGAGGTGGTTCCAGACAGGATGGTTCTAGACTATTCTTTGTGGTAGAAGAGGACTGAACAAGGAGTAATGGTCTCAAGTTGCCGTGGGGGAGGTTTAGGTTGGATATTAGGAAAAACTTTTTCACTAGGAGGGTGGTGAAACACTGGAATGCGTTACCTAGGGAGGTGGTAGAATCTCCTTCCTTAGAAGTTTTTAAGGTCAGGCTTGACAAAGCCCTGGCTGGGATGATTTAATTGGGGATTGGTCCTGCTTTGAGCAGGGGGTTGGACTAGATGACCCTTCCAACCCTGATATTCTATGATTCTATGATTGCTCATACATAGGTGCCGACTTCCTTATTTCCCGGGAGGTGTTTGACCTCCTCTCTGCCCCAGGACCCATTCCCACTCCACCCCATCCCCCAATCCCCCACCCATGCTCCGCCCTACCCCTGCCTCTACCTACCCCTGCTCCTCCCCCTCACCCCCAGCACCTCCTGCACACCGCTGAACAGCTGATCACAGTGGATGGCAGGCACTGGGAGGGAGGGGGAGGTGCTCATCCATGGGCTGCTGGTGGGTGCTGAGCACTCACAATTTTTTTCTGTGGCTGCTCCAGCCCCAGAGCACCCACTGAGTCGGGGCCTTTGGCTCCATAAGCTTATTAATTTGTGTGGCCCCTCTCTGGTCCTTTTCCAGTTCCAATATATATTTTTTTGCGATGTGGTGACCAGAACTGCATGCAGCATTCAATAAGTGGGTATATAATGGACTGATATGGTGGCATTATGATATTTTCTGGTTTATTATCTATCGATGTCCCAATGGCTCCTAACATTCTTTTTTGATGGCCGCTGCACATTAAGTGGATATTTTTAGAAAACTATCCTTGATAACCCCGAGATCTCTTTCTTGAGTGGTAACAGTTACTTTAGATACCATCATTTTGTGTCTATCGTTGGGATTATGGTTTCGAATGTGTATTACTTTTAATTTATCAGCATTTTTTTGACAGGTTACTCCCCAATCTGGGGTGCCCCCTGATGTACTGGGGTACCAGTGAGCCTGCTGTTCCATCACTCCCTTACACTGTGCTGCTGAGCCAGGCCCTCAAGCCTCCTCCAACACACACACAGGTAGGGACACACCCAGCTGCGGAAAGACACAGACACTAAGATCAGCTCTGCGTGGGAAGACTCGGCTAGGGAATTGTATTGTCTTGTGCTGCACAGAGAACTGTACAACGTAAGCTCATGAAATTTGCCCCCTCCTTCAATGTAGAGGAAGGTACGCACATCTTTTGTCCCCCCTCCCCCTGTTATGAATTCCACAAACTGGTTTTAAAGAAAAGAAAAACAAATTTATTAACTACAAAGGATATATTTTAAGTGATTATAAGAGACAGCAAACAGATCAAAGCAGATTACTGAACAAATAAAACAAACACATAAACTAAGCATAATACACTACACAAACTGGTTACAAGTAGTAATTTATCTCCCTAAATGTTGTTTTAGCTTGGGCTTTTCCAGCCTGGGCTCGGCTACTCTCCCCCACTTTTGTCTTCATTTCTTAGATGTTTCCAGCAGTCATCGTGAACATGGATTCAGTGAAGACTGAACACTGATTAAGTCAGTCCCCTGTCTTGAATAGGTTTTACATATGGTAGGAATCCTTTGTTTGCCACTGTGGTTCCTTTCCACCCCCAGTGGAAAAATACTGGTATTCTATCATGGAATCTAGTACCAGGTGACTTAATCACATGACCCTGCAGTGTGAAAGCAGCCATGAGTCAAAGGTTGTTTCTAGCATCCCAGGAAGCTTCTCAGGAAGGTGGGAGATTAGCATCTTCAAAGTCCTTTTGCTCCCCCTTAGCATTCTGTCTGGTGGGCATTCCCCAGGTGTAAACCCACTTATAATTGTTACATAGTCAATATTCCTAACTTCAGATACAGAAATGATACTTGCATACAGATAAGGTAATCATATTCAGCAAATTATAGCCTTTCCAATGATATCACACCAGATCCATCTTGCACAAAATACGTCTTTGATATTGTCAAGGTTCCTCCCCCACTCTGAATTCTAGGGTACAGATGTGGGGACCTGCATGAAAAACCTCCTAAGCTTATCTTTACCAGCTTAGGTCAAAACTTCCCCAAGGTACAAAATATTCCACCCTTTGTCCTTGGATTGGCCGCTACCACCACCAAACTAATACTGGTTACTGGGGAAGAGCTGTTTGGACGCGTCTTTCTCCCCCCAAAATACTTCCCAAAACCTTGCACCCCACTTCCTGGACAAGGTTTGGTAAAAAGCCTCACCAATTTGCCTAGGTGACTACAGACCCAGACCCTTGGATCTTAAGAACAATGAACAATCCTCCCAACACTTGCACCCCCCCTTTCCTGGGAAATGTTGGATAAAAAGCCTCACCAATTTGCATAGGTGACCACAGACCCAAACCCTTGGATCTGAGAACAATGAAAAAGCATTCAGTTTTCTTACAAGAAGACTTTTAATAAAAAATAGAAGTAAATAGAAATAAAGAAATCCCCCCTGTAAAATCAGGATGGTAGATACCTTACAGGGTAATTAGATTCAAAACATAGAGAACCCCTCTAGGCAAAACCTTAAGTTACAAAAAAGATACACAGACAGAAATAGTTATTCTATTCAGCACAGTTCTTTTCTCAGCCATTTAAAGAAATCATAATCTAACACGTACCTAGCTAGATTACTTACTAAAAGTTCTAAAACTCCGTTCCTGGTCTATCCCCGACAAAGACAGACTATAGACAGACACACAGACCCTTTGTTTCTCTCCCTCCTCCCAGCTTTTGAAAGTATCTTGTCTCCTCATTGGTCATTTTGGTCAGGTGCCAGAGAGGTTACCTTTAGCTTCTTAACCCTTTACAGGTGAGAGGAGCTTTCCCCTGGCCAGGAGGGATTTCAAAGAGGTTTACCCTTCCCTTTATATTTATGACAGATATGCTATAATCATATTATAACAATATTTCTAGGAAGAATATGGGGTGTAGAATCACAATTTTATTAAACTTTTGATCAATTACCTGGAAGAAAAAATGATTGATAAAGGTTGCAGATGACACAAAAATTGGGGGAGTGGTAAATAAGGAAGAGGGCAGATCACAGACTCAGACAGATGTGGATCACATGGTAAACTGGGTGCAAGCAAACACTATGTGTATTCGTATGGCTAAATGAAAATGTGTCCATCTAGGAATGACGAGTGTTGGCCATTCTTACAGGATGGGGGACTCACTCCTGGGAAGAAGAGACTCTGAAAAAGATAATCAGCTGAACACGAGCTCCCAGTGGGACACTGTGGCCAAAACAGCTAATGTGATCCTGGGATGCATAAACAGGGGAATCTTGAACAGGAAGAGAGGTTATTTTATCTCTCTATTTGGCACTGGTGTGACTGCTGCTGGAATTCCATATCCATTGCCGGGGCCCACAATTCAAGAATAATGTTGATAAATTGAGAGGGGTCTGAGAAGAGCCATGAGAATGATTAAAGGATTAGAAAACCTGCCTGAGAGTGAGAGACGCAAGGAGCTCAATCTATTTAGTTTAAGAAGGATAAGGGGTGACTTCACCCCAGTCTATAAATACCTAGATGGGGAACAGACATTTAATAATGGGCTCTTCAGTCACTCTGATCCAATTGCTTCAAGTTGACGCTAGACAAATTCAGATAGGAAAGAAAGTGTACATTTTTAACAGTGAGATTAATTAATGTTTGGAACAATATACAAAGGTTGTGATAGGTTCTCCATCACTGACATTTTTTAAAACAAGATCAGCAGGACCTGGGGATTACAGTGGATAAGAAGCTGGATATGAGTCAGCAGCATGCCCTTGCTGCCAAGGCCAATGGCATATTGGGCTGTATTAGTAGGAGCATTGCCTGCAGATTGAGGGAATTGATTATTCCCCTCTATTCGGCACCGGTGAGGCCACACCTGGAGTATTGCGTCCAGTTTTGGTCCCCCCACTACAGAAGGGATGTGGACAAATTGGAGAGAGTCCAGCAGAGGGCAATGATTAGAGGGCTGGGGCACATGATTTATGAGGAGAGGGTGTGGGAACTGGGGTTATTTAGTCTGCAGAAGAGAAGAGTGAGGGGGGATTTGATAGCAGCCTTCAATTATGTGAATGGGGGTTCCAAAGAGGACGGAGCTCGGCTATTCTCAGTGGTGGCAGATGACAGAAAAAGGAGAAATGGTCTCAAGTTGCAGACAGGGAGGTCTAGGGTGAATATTAGGAAACACTATTTCAGTAGGAGGGCGGTGAAGCACTGGAAGGGGTTACCTAGGGAGGTGGTGGAATCTCCATCCATAGAGGTTTTAAGGCCCAGCTTGACAAAGCCCTGGCTGGGATGACTTAGTTGGGGATTGGTCCTGCTTTGAGCAGGGGATTGGACTAGATGACCTCCTGAGGTCTCTTCCAACCCTAATCTTCTAGGATTCTATGATTCGAAAAGCTCGGCTCTAGGAGTTATTTGGGGGCAGGTCTCTGGCCGGTGTTATACCAAGGGTCAGACTAACTGATCACAGTGGTGTCCTCTCACCTTAGAATCTACGAACCCCCTATGCTAACCTTACCCCCATTACAACCTTAGCTTTGCCTGGGCACTGTCCTTGGCCATCTGTTCTCGGCACATTCAGTTACTAACAAAACATGGAAGTTAAAATTACAGTGGGCCTCCCCACCATAAACCTTGGCTGTTGGACATTTTTGTTGGTTTTCCAGGATGCTCGTTAACAGGGCAATTCCAGGTAGAGCAGACTGAGAACGGTCGCGCCCTGTTCGCGTGCAGAATTTAGCAGCACTTGTTTCCTTGAGTGGTTCATGAGGGGATGGGTCACATCTGTTCTCTCTTGATCTTGATCTGGGGAGGGCGGAGGCAGGAACCATGTCTATAAAAACCTGCCCCGGCACATTCATTCTCCAGCCGGGCTTTGGTTGGAGCGGTGGAGCCAGCTGAGTTTGGCCAAGGCAGAACCAGGCGAAGATGAATCATGGAGCATCTCTGCTCCCTCCTGGCCATAGCACTGCTGGCGACGAGCCTGGTGCAGGGTGAGTGTGGGGTGGAATGGAGTTGGGAGACGGGGGCCTACCTCCCATGGGGAGAGGAGAGGGATACTGGCTTGGGGGGAAGGGAATTGGGCTAGTAAATAACAGGAGGATCCAACATCTTCACCATTCATAGATACCCCTCCCCATCTAGCCCCTATTTCGGTATTCACTCCTGATCCACCCCTTTCAGATCAGTGGGAATTGTTAACTCTGGAACCTACAGATGGTGAGTTGAATAGCGACACTACTAAGACTTTTAGCTGTTGCTGTGGATAGCAGGGATGGTTCAGGAGAGTAGGCGGAGCCTGAGAACTGTGGGTGAAGCTATTGGCACCCATTCCTAAAGACACATTGTGTCAGACAACAGGAATGACTGTATAACCCCCCCCCCTCACAGACACACAGTAATAGCTTTCTTTTCTCTTTGTTTGCTCCTTAGGTGCTCCAGTGAGTCAGAATCAGGCAGGTAAGACACCCACAGCAAAATGTGAGACTTATCTGCCCTGGTGATTTGGAATGAGAATTAGGTTGAGAGCCAGGACTCCTGGGTCCTAGCCTGACTTGCAAACGGAGTGGGGTCTCGTGTGTTAGGGCAGGGGAACAAGGTGGTATCATTGGGATTAGGGACAAGGGTTAAGGTTATCTTGTGGTTAAGGTTATCATTGGGTTAGAGTTAAGGGTATCATTGGGTGAAGGTTATCATTGGGGTTATAACGAAGTTTATCATGGAAGTTAAGGTCATTCTCTAGTTTTCATTTGATTTCTTTCTTTCTTTCTTTCTTTCTTTCTTTCTTTCTTTCTTTCTTTCTTTCTTTTACATTCTGTGCTGCCCAGCTCTCTCCTGGAAAGTGCAACCATATTAAGTCTGTTATTCCTTTAAGGGAATACTAGGCTGTGACCGGGTGTACCAAGCCCGGAGGCCCTGCTGAAGGCCTCACAGTCCTACCCCAGCCCACCCCAGGGATGAGCAGTAGAGGTGAATCCTCCAAGCTGCCTAGAGAGGCTGTTGGGGAAGCAGCCAATCAGAGAGAGGCTGCAGGGAGCTGGCAACCTGAGCCCAGCAGGGGGCAGACTGGGAGCCAGGACTCCTGGGTTCTCTCCCTGGCTCTGGGAGGGGTTAGTGGGTTCGAGCAGGAGGTGTCTGCCCCCTTCTTTTTATGGTCCTGTCCCTTTTTTTTGAGAAGCAATTCCAGTGGGAAGCAGGGCAAGAGGCAGCCTGTGTGGATGGGAACTCCAGACTCTTTCTCTGCTAAGATGAAGATTTTTCACCCCTGCCCCTTTTCCTGCCAAAGAATGGACATTGAGCAGGCAATGGCCTATTGCTGTTGCTGACACCCGGCTGAGGGGTCAGCTTGCTCTTTGTCTCTGAGGAGCTGGTTCGGCCAGTCCCCAGACTTGGAATATGTATGAGTAACGTCATACAGGGGAATCTGATAACTTCACGTGCAATGTGGCCGCATGTCTTTTACCAGGACATTAATGACCAGCAAATTATGAGTTTTCAAACTATACTTCACCAGGAAAACTCTGTGCAAAGATTATTACAATAGTGGATATGGGTATATTCTGTCACATCGTCTACATGCCAGGTGCTAAGGAGAAGGTAGAACTAAGGTGAAAGCAGTGAATTGGGGAGCGCTGTTTCCACAGAGGCAGTGGATCCATGTGCATGGCAGGTGTGCCGAAGACAGGGGACGGGGCACTGGCGTGTAACAGTGTTGGGTGTGTAAATTGCTGCCTGCAGAGGGATAGAGCAGGACTTGCGACACGCCAGGAATTCCAGCAGCTGGTGGCTGGGAGAGTTTTTCCTGGTGGACACAGGTAGGGCTCCCTCCTGCTGGGAGCAGGGGGTGGTGCAACCCAGACACTGTGGGTCACCTCAAAAAGTATCACAGGGCTTGTGGGAGTTGGAATCGAGCAGGAAAAGTGCCCAAAGCAAAATGCCAGTATTATCTGCTGTGGGGTCTGAGGGTTGAAGTGCATTATCCCTCCCCACTTTAGCTCCCTTGCCTGGGGATAATGCAGGTTCCCTGTTTTCTTCCCAGGCTGTGGCAAGCAGTCGGTCTCAGGGCGCATCTTCAGTGGTCAAGATGCCAAGGACGGGGCCTGGCCCTGGCAGGTCAGCGTGCAGCAAAACGGCTTCCACATCTGCGGCGGCTCGCTCGTCTCTGAGAGCTGGGTGGTGTCAGCAGCTCATTGCTTCAATCTGTGAGTACCCCAGGCAGGGCAGAGACAGTGACCGCGGCTGCTCTGGAAGGACTCCCTCTCTACTGGCTTCCTGTTGTGCAGTGTTCCCCCGCTGCTCCACCTCAGGGATGGCTGCACGTCTGCTTTAGGAAGCCATCCCCCATGAGGTGTTATGTGTGGCTGTTCTCCAGCGACCCTGCCCCAGAGCTAGTTTCATCTGAGCGCTGCACAAGCCATGCCTGTGTGGCATTGCTGTGTAGTTCTTCCCCAATCAGATTTTCTTGTATCCAGGTCCGTAGCCATTTCAGCATATTGGGTGCAGCTGGGTGAAAAACGGATTGTCAGTGAGACCCCAGCCGAGTCGTTCTCATCGGTGAAGCGGATCATCCCCCATCCCAATTACAACAGTAGCACTCTCCTTGCCGACATCGCCCTGGTGGAGCTGGAGAAGCCCATTGCGTTCACGGCCTCCATCAGCCCCGTGTGCCTGCTTAACGCCTCCATCTATGTGCCCGCTGGGAAACCCTGCTGGGTGACTGGTTGGGGGAACACTCTCCCACAAGGTGAGGCAGATTCGTAGCTGTTAGAGAGGGGAAGGGCAGGGGAAAGGCCAGCACTGGATGAAGGTCACAGGCTGGGTGATAGCAGCCTCATATATACACAGATGGCCTAAGAGCTACACGGTCGCATGGTTATACAGCTACTATTACAGTTATATGGTTTTATAGCCACAGTTGTATGGTTGTACATTCACACAATTACAGGGATAAGATGAGGTTGTGACAGAGGTCTGTAAAATCATGACTGGTGTGGAGGAGGTGAATAGGGAAGTGTTGTTTACGCCGTCGTGTAACACAAGAACTAGGGCTGACCCAATGAAATTGATAGGCAGAAGTCTTAAACAAAAGAAAATACTTTTTCACACAACGCACAGCCAACCTGTGGAACTCGGTGCCAGAGGATGTTGTGAAGGTCAAAAGCATATTGGGTTCCAAAAAGAACTTGATAAGTTCATAAAAAGAAAAGGAGGACTTGTGGCACCTTAGAGACTAACCAATTTATTTGAGCATAAGCTTTCATGAGCTACAGCTCACTTCATCGGATGCATACTGTGGAAAGTATAGAAGATCTTTTTATACACACAAAGCATGAAAAAATGGGTGTTTACCACTACAAAAGGTTTTCTCTCCCCCCACCCCACTCTCCTGCTGGTAATAGCTTATCTAAAGTGATCACTCTCCTTACAATGTGTATGATCATCAAGTTGGGCCATTTCCAGCACAAATCCAGCTATTAACAAATAAGCTATTACCAGCAGGAGAGTGGGGTGGGGGGAGAGAAAACCTTTTGTAGTGGTAAACACCCATTTTTTCATGCTTTGTGTGTATAAAAAGATCTTCTATACTTTCCACAGTACGCATCCGATGAAGTGAGCTGTAGCTCACGAAAGCTGATGCTCAAATAAATTGGTTAGTCTCTAAGGTGCCACAGGTCCTCCTTTTCTTTTTGCGAATACAGACTAACACGGCTGTTACTCTGAAACTTGATAAGTTCATGGAGGACAGGTCCATCAATGGCTTTTAGCCAAGATGGTCAGAGACACAACTCCATGCTCTGGGTGTCCCTAAACCTGTGACTGCCAGAAACTGGGTCTGGATGACAGGATGGATCACTCCATAAATTGCCCTGTTGTGTTCATTCCCTCTGAATGGCACCAAACACTGTGGGAAGACAGGATACTGGGCTAGATGGACGTTTGGTCTGACCCCATATGGCTGTTCTCATGGTTAAACAGCCACAGTTGTACTGTGACACAGTTATATAGTTATACAGGCATGGTTGTACAATTGAACTATTATATGGTTGCACAGTTTAACAGCCGCACATTTATACAGGTACCATTATACACAGCCCTGGAAGGATTGGATTGTTGTCAGTCAATGTTGATTTCACCGTACACACACAGACCGACAAAAATGTATTTTGATTGGAAATAATCAAAATTTACATATAGGCAAAAGATGAGAAATGCTGCTTGAGAACTCAGAGTTTGATTTAAGGATATTTACTTTCCATTTTTTGACATGGGATATTGACAATTTGCGTTTTCATGGTTATAAAGCTTTGATTCTTTGAATCTCAACCTCCATTGTCATTAAATAGTTATTGCCTAGCCCCTCCCATAAACGTCCACAACTGGGAAAATTTAAGCCAATAAAAATTCAAAAATGCTTAAAACCCATAATTTTGCAAAACTGAACATTTAAATTGATGAACGTAAAAACATTCTTAAAAATAAATATGATCATTTGATGGATGGGGGATTCAATTCCTAGCACAAGGAAGAGATGTTCGTGTTTTGGTGTGTCTGAGTCCTAATCTGGGTTTCAAACCACTCCTCTTGGGGTAGTTGGCACCTGTTTATTTGCCGGTGCCAGTTCTAGACCAGCAGGAAGCCGTGTCAGAGGTGGCCGCCAGCTGGCACCCAGCACTATCTAGTCACACACCTAGTTACATCTTCATGGCCTTGTGTTTAGGCCTGACCTGGAAATCAGGAGCCTCTGCTCAGAAATTTAAACCCATTGAACCAAACCAGGGCAAACTGTGTGTAGACAAGGCTCAGCATTTTCAAATGCACCCTATCGGCTTGCGTTTTCGGCACTTAAAGGTGCAGACGGTCTCTGAACAGGGTATTCAAATGTAGCTGTGCAGGTTAGGCGCCTAACTCCCATTGACGCTCTGTTAGACTTAGGTTCCAAAGCACCATCTTTTGTAGGTGCCTTGGAGATTTTCAAAATCCCACTAGATTCCTTCCTGTGTCAATAAGTGCCTGAATCCCTATGACTATCTTCCCCCAAGTGGTTATAATTAAACTTAGGCTTCTAAATCAGGTTTGGGGCTGCAAAGCTAATCAGAGCAGCACCTAAAATACCTTTACATATCTGGGTTGTTGCCTTTAGAACGCGTGAAACTAGCCACCTGCCCCCTATCCACTCTAACCCACTAGACCCCACTCCCCTCCCAGAGCTGGGGAGAGAACCCAAGAGTTTTGGCTCCTATGCTCCCACTCTAGCCTACTAGACCCCACTCCCATTCCAGAGCTGGAAACTTCTTCTAGATCCTTAATGTGACAGCTTATTATGTGCCATATGAGTCACCCTGCTCTCGGGCCTTTTATTCCAGCGGTTTATAAGCCACCGGAGACACTGCAGGAGCTGGAGGTGCTCACCGTAGACTCCACGATTTGCAACGATCGCTACCGAGGATTACGAGAGCCTTCAGGTTACAACCCTATCAAAGATGACATGATTTGTGCTGAGTACCCGGAAGGCTATAAAGGGTTTGCTTGGGTGAGATTCTCTGACTGAGATTGGAAGACCTCCCCCTTTCTGCTGGGCAATACCCAGACCCCGAGAAAGATCAGGGCCCCCTTTGTGCTGGGCCCTGTTCTTCCTGGTCCATTGCCCCTGCTGGTTTGGTGTTGTGTGTCGGGGGCACCCACCGAACAGAGGGCTTGGATGGAAGGGCTGAACCCTGAGTTCATTCCCCAGTGTTTAGACAAGACGCCTCTTGCCTTGAGGATGCGTCTGTAGAGTATAAAGTCAGCAGGGTCCATCAGCCCATTCAGTCTGACCTAATGTATAACCCAGCCAACAATTGCACCTGGTTACCCCTTTACTGTGCCCAGAGACATATGTCTGGATAAAGCATCTCCCAGAAAGGCAGCCAGTGGGAATGTGAAGCCATTGAGAGATGGAGAATCCAGCACTGCCCTTGTGGACAATGCAGACTGGACTCTTTCCAACCCTATTTCTTTCCCTCTCTCTAGGGTGACTCTGGGGGACCCCTGGTGTGTGAAGAAGGCGGGACCTGGTACCTTGCTGGGATTGTGAGCTGGGGAAAGGGGATAAAATTGAATGGGGTACTCAGTGTTGCCCCTGGTTATCCTGGAGTCTACAACCGCCCCAATGCCCACAATGAGTGGATCAAGAAGAACATGCCTGGTGTGACTTTCGCGGAGGTGAACTTCACTCTGATCAGCCCCCAACCATCTACCACTGTCACTCCAAACAGTGCCAGTTCTCCTCCTACAATCCCCAGGGTCCTTCTCCTAGCTGTGCTTCTGTGGCTGACTCTGTGACCCCCTCCTAGACTGGGTCCCCATCCCACACCAGCCCTTTCTAACCCTTGGTGCAGATAGACCATGTCACCTGTGACACTAGACCCTAGTATTCACACCCTATACTCTATTGTAACAATCTCTGTGCAAAATGCTCCTTGTGAGGGGGGAGGGATAGCTCAGTGTTTTGAGCGTTGGCCTGCTAAACCCAGGGTTGTGAGTTCAATCCTTGAGGGGAACATTTAGGGATCTGGGGCAAAAATTGGGGATTGGTCCTGCTTTGAGCAGGGGGTTGGACTAGATGACCTCCTGAGGTCCCTTCCAACCCTGATATTCTATGATTTGAAAACTTATATATTGCTGATCATTCATATCCTTGTGTGATGTACATATGCAAGGGGTATTACGGGTTATGGACATACGCTGGAATGGTCACTAAAAGGAGTTCAAACCAGGTTTGTCAAGGGAGTTGTTAAACAGGTCTCTCCCAAAGAAAGGATGGTGTGTTCAGCTCCATTTCCATACAAGCAGCACACGGACCCATCAAACTAACAAGGGGTGGAGGCAAACTTCACACTCACAAGTGGGGAGAACACTGCCGGGTGTCTACACCTAGCAGGTGAGAGATGCTTAGTCTGAGTTTTACTTTTCAGAAGAATCCTTTGCGAAGATTTACTGGGCTATACAGATGGGGTGGGGAGGGGGGCTGAACCTCAAGTGATAAGCAACTTAATCAACTTGCAATTTTGCAACAGAAAAGCTTCAAAAACAGACTCCAACAAGAAACTGCTGAGCTTGAATTAATATGCAAACTAGATACCATTGACTTGGGTTTGACTAGAGACTGGGAGTGGCTGGGTCATTACACGTATTGAATCTATTTCCCTATGTTAAGTATCCTCACACCTTCTTGTCAACTGTCTAAATGGGCCATCTTGATTATCACTACAAAAGTTTTTTTTCTCCTGCTGATAATAGCTCATCTTAATTAATTAGCCTCTTACAGTTTGTATGGCAACTTCCTCATTCTCATTCTCTCTGTGTGTGTATGTATATGTATATATCTATCTTCTTACTATATGTTCCATTCTATGCATCCGATGAAGTGGGCTGTAGCCCACAAAAGCTTATGCTCTAATAAATTTGTTAGTCACTAAGATGCCACAAGTTCTCCTGTTCTTTTTACAGCATATGATATTCCTGCATTAGAAGTGTGTGTGGAGCGAGGTCTTTTCTGAGTGTTAATGCCATGCCGGTGATGAATGTCATTGTGAAATGTCTGTAGTAACACTCTTGGCTTAGGTTAGGCTAAGCACAGGAAGGCTAGGATGACAGGAAGTGAGGTCCAAAAGAAACTAGAATTAGCCAGATTGGAAGCTGAAAAGAGACAGAAAGAAGATGAAAGAGAAATGGCCTTAAAGCGCTTAGAGTTGGAAGTGGAGGAGAGGAAGGAGGCCAAATGCTTGGAGGCAGAGGCAAAATGCTTGGAGACAGAGTTAGAGCTGAAGCGCTTAGATCTGGAAAGGGCTAAGCTGGGTCTACCAGATAACCCTGTCATAAATATAAAGGGAAGGGTAAACCCCTTTGAAATCCCTCCTGGCAAGGGGAAAGCTCCTCTCACCTGTAAAGGGTTAAGAAGCTAAAGGTAACCTCGCTGGCACCTGACCAAAATGACCAATGAGGAGACAAGATACTTTCAAAAGCTGGGAGGAGGGAGAGAAACAAAGGGGCTGTGTCTGTCTATATGCTGGTCTTTGCCGGGGATAGACCAGGAATGGAGTCTTAGAACTTTTAGTAAGTAATCTAGCTAGGTATGTGTTAGATTATGATTTCTTTAAATGGCTGAGAAAAGAATTGTGCTGAATAGAATAACTATTTCTGTCTGTGTATCTTTTTTGTAACTTAAGGTTTTGCCTAGAGGGGTTCTCTATGTTTTTGAATCTAATTACCCTGTAAGATATCTACCATCCTGATTTTACAGGGGGGATTTCTTTATTTCTATTTACTTCTTTATTTTTTATTAAAAGTCTTCTTGTAAGAAAACTGAATGCTTTTTCATTGTTCTCAGATCCAAGGGTTTGGGTCTGTGGTCACCTATGCAAATTGCTGAGGCTTTTTATCCAACATTTCCCAGGAAAGGGGGGTTGCAAGTGTTGGGAGGATTGTTCATTGTTCTTAAGATCCAAGGGTCTGGGTCTGTAGGCAAATTGGTGAGGCTTTTTACCAAACCTTGTCCAGGAAGTGGGGTGCAAGGTTTTGGGAAGTATTTTGGGGGGAAGGACGCGTCCAAACAGCTCTTCCCCAGTAACCAGTATTAGTTTGGTGGTGGTAGGCCAGTCCAAGGAAAGGGTGGAATATTTTGTACCTTGGGGAAGTTTTGACCTAAGCTGGTAAAGATAAGCTTAGGAGGTTTTCATGCAGGTCCCCACATCTGTACCCTAGAGTTCAGAGTGGGGGAGGAACCTTGACAAACCCTAACAGTCCTTCTCCAAGTACCGCTCCCCATTCAAAAAAATTCCCCACCTACAAGGCAGGCGATGATACAGAGGCCTTCTTAGAAAACTTCAAAAGGGCCCGCCTTGGGTACAGCATCTCTACAGACCAGTATATGGTGGAGCTGAGGCCACAGCTCAGTGGACCCTTAGCAGAGGTGGCAGTTGAAATGCCTAAAGAAAACATGAACAGCTACGAACTTCTTTTTAAAAAGGCCAAAATTAGAATGGGGATAAAACCTGAGCATGCCCGTCAGTGGTTCAGAGCCCTAAGGTGGAAACCAGACGTGGCATTTTCCCGACGTGCCTATCTCATTGTAAAAAATTGGGATCCCTGGATATCAGGAGCCAGTGTTAAATCTCTGGAAGATCTGTCTTTCCTAATGCAAATGGAGCAGTTCTTAGAGGGTGTTCCTGAGGAAATAGAAAGGTACATCCTAGATGGGAAGCCCAAACTGTAATCGAGGCAGAAGAGATCGGAGCCAAATGGGTGGAGGTGGCCGAGAGAAAAAAAAACTGGTCGCAGTTGGAGCGGAGACCAGAAGGGACAACCTCAGACCACACCCTGCTACCGGGGGTAGCCCAAGGCCCCAACTACATCCCGAGGAAACCCCCAAACACCTTATCCTCCCATGTAGTGGGGTGGTCACCTGCTCTGGCCCTGAAGGGGTTAAAACAGCCCTTGGAGAGGGCTGCCTGTGGGAGCCAATAGTAAAAGCAGCCCTAGAGAGGGCTGCAGCTGGGAAAAGCTAGGCTGAGTGAGGGAAGCAGCCACAGCTGGGGCCACACCCCAATCAGGCCACAGCTGGTTCTATAAGAGGGCTGAGGGCCAGGAGCTGTAGGAGTCTCTCTCCAGCTTCTGAGAGAGAAGGACCTGAGCAGGGCACCCAGAGTGGGGCAGGGCTGGGAGAAGGTCCAGCGGAGCTGGGGAGCTCCAACCTGGAAAACCCACAGGCTGCAGGCCTTGCTAAAGGCCAGGAAAGGTACTAGGGCTACAGAGGGGTAGCTTGGGAATAGGCAGAGGCAGCTGGTCCAACCCCCTCTTGCTGATGATGAGTGGTTTACAGACTGCAGTCTGCCCCTGTGAGCAAGGGCTAGATGGTGACTGGCAGTAGCCACTGAGGTAAGGTGGGTTTAGAGGGTTGGGGGTTCCCCTGGGTGGGGAGACCCAGAGTGTGGGGACTGCTGGGGCAGAACCCCAAGTTAAAGGCACTGGGGTCCAGGAGGGGCAACGGACCAGTGGCAGGCGAGACACTGGCCTGCAGAGGGCACTCTGGGCTGGAAGAGCTAATTCCCAAGATGACCAGCAGGAGGCGCCACACCGGTGAGTCGTTGCCCCGCTACATCCCACCCCACCAGTCTCCAGCAACCCACCTCGCCCCAGTGACCAGTCAGCTGGGTGATGTTTCAAATGTAACAAGCTGGGGCATGTAAAGACCAACTGCCCCAAGAACCCCAACAGATTGCAGTTCATTACACCAGAATCACACGATGCTTCCCAGATACCCTCCAAGTGAAGGGAAATTGTGAGTGTGGGCGGGAAGAAGGTTATTGCATGGAGGAACACTGGAGCACAAGTGTCAGCTATCCACTAATCCTTAGTGGACCCCAAATTCATCAACCCAGAGGCCCAAGTGATGATTCAACCCTTCACGTCAAACTCTTTAAACTTGCCTACAGCCAAGTTGCCTGTCCAGTACAAGGACTGGTTAGGAATGTGGACTTTTGCAGTCTATGATGATTTTCCCATCCCCATGCTGCTGGGGGAAGACTTGGCCAACCATGTGAAGCGAGCCAAGAGGGTTGGAATGGTCACCTGCAGCCAGGCTAAGTGAGCCTCCAAACCTATCCCTGTTCCTGAGCCTTATAAAAGGCCCCGTCTGTGTTATCAGAGCCCCAAACTGAGGTGGTAGAACTGGATCCCCTGCCAATGACTGCAACAGCAGTAGTGGATCCAGTCCCAGAGACCCAACCAGAACCAGAATGGGCAGAGCAGCCAGCACTGAATCCAGCGCTTGCAACCCCATCTACAACTCCAATGCCAGAGGGCACCACCGAGCCTGCACTGGCATCAGCAGATAAACCTACACAAGAGGTTCAACCGGAGCCTGAAATACAACATAGTGCACTGGCAGAGAGCAGTTCACAATCAACGGAAACAGCCCCATCACCTGCATCGCTTCCAGAGGGACCAAGCCCAAGTCCACAATCCAGTCAGGAACTGATGTCTCCAGCATCAAGGGAACAGTTCCAGGCAGAGCAGGAAGTGTATGAGAGACTCAACGGAGCTTGGATGGTGGCACAGAGTGACCCACCGCCTCTCAGCTCTTCTAATCAATCCAGGTTTGTTGTAGAAAGAGGACTTTTATACAAGGAAACTCTTTCTGGTGGGCACCAGGAGGCCTGGCATCCTCAAAGACAATTGGTAGTTCCAACTAAGTACTGGGAAAAGCTCTTGAGCTTAGCCCACCATCATCCTAATGGCCACGCTGGAGTGAACAGGACCAAAGACAGTTTGGGTAAGTCCTTCCACTGGGAGGGAATGGGCAAGGACGTTTCTACCTATGCTCGGTCTTGTGAGGTGTGCCAAAGAGTGGGAAAACCCCAAGACCAGATCAAAGCCCTTCTCTGGCCACTCCCCATCATTGAGTTTCCATTTCAGCAAGTAGCTGTGGATATTCTGGGTCCTTTTCTGAAAAAGACACCCAGAGGGAAGCAGTACATACTGACTTTCATGGATTTTGCCACTCAATGGCCAAAAGCAGTAGCTCTAAGGAACACCAGGGCTAAAAGTGTGTACCAGGCATTAACAGACATTTTTGCCAGGGTAGGTTGGCCCTCCAACATCCTTATGGATTCAGGAACTAATTTCCTAGCAGGGACCATGAAAAGCCTTTGGGAAGCTCATGGGGTTAACCACTTGGTAGCCACCCCTTACCACCACCATCAAATAAATGGCATGGTGGAGAAGTTTAATGGAACTTTGGGGGCCATGATAAGTAAATTCGTAAATGAGCACTCCAGTGACTGGGACCTAGTGTCGCAGCAGTTGCTCTTTGCCTACAGAGCTGTGCCAAGTCCCAGTTTAGAGTTTTCACCATTTGAACTTGTTTATGGCCGTGAGGTTAAGCGGCCATTACAGTTGATGAAGCAGCAATGGGAGGGGTTTACGCCTTCCCCTGGAACTAACATTCTGGACTTTGTAACCAACCTACAAAACACCCTCCAAAACTCTTTAGCCCTTGCTAGAGAAAACCTAAAAGATGCTCAGGAAGAGCAAAAAGCTTGGTATGATAAACATGCCAGAGAGCGTTCCTTCAAAGTAGGGGACCAGGTCATGGTCTTGAAGGCACTCCAGGCCCATAAGATGGAAGCATCGTGGGATGAGCCATTTACGGTCCAAGAGCACCTGGGAGATGTTAACTATCTCATAGCATCCCCCACCTCAAGCCTAAAGTGTACCATGTTAATTCTCTAAAGCCCTTTTATTCCAGAGAATTCAAGGTTTGTCAGTTTACAGCCCAGGGAGGAGATGACGCTGAGTGGCCTGAAGGTGTCTACTATGAAGTGAAATGTGCTGGTGGCGTGGAAGAGGTGAACCTCTCCATGACCCTTGGGTGTATGCAGTGACAGCAGATCCAGGAGCTGTGCACTAGCTTCACGCCGATGTTCTCAGCAACCCCAGGACTGACTGAACGGGCATACCACTCCATTGACACAGGTAATGCTCACCCAATTAAAGTCCAACCTTACTAGGTGCCTCCTCAAGCTAAAACTGCTATAGGACGGGAGATCCAGGATATGTTACAGATGGGTGTAATCCGCCCCTCTGGCAGTGCATGGGCATCTCCAGTGGTTCTAGTTCCCAAACCAGATGGGGAAATACGTTTTTGCGTGGACTACCGTAAGCTAAATGCTTTAACTCACCCAGACAATTATCCAATGCCACGCACAGATGAACTATTAGAGAAACGGGGACGGGCCCAGTTCATCTCTACCCTGGACTTAACCAAGGGGTACTGGCAGGTACCGCTAGATGAATCCGCCAAGGAAAGGTCAGCCTTCACCACACATGTCGGGCTGTATGAATTTAATGTGCTCCCTTTCGGGCTGTGGAATGCACCCGCCACTTTCCAAAGACTTGTAGATGGTCTCCTAGCGGGATTAGGAGAATATGCAGTCTCCTACCTTGATGATGTGGCCATATTTTTGGATTCCTGGGAAGAACACCTGGAACATATACAAAAAGTCTTTGAGCGCATAAGGGAGGCAGGACTAACTGTTAAGGCTAAGAAGTGTCAAATAGGCCTAAACAGAGTGACTTACCTTGGACACCAGGTGGGTCAAGGAACTATCAGCCCCCTACAGGCCAAAGTGGATGCTATCCAAAAGTGGCCTGTCCCAAAGTCAAAGAAACAGATTCAA